AAAAAAAAAAAAAAAGTAGAAGTTCTTACCGCGGTATATACACACAATGGGTAAAAGGATCCTGTGTTGCTAATGCCTTCTCTAATTCCTCGATTAATTTCGTCTTCTTCAATTTCTTTACCAAGCTTTTTACTGCTTTTTCAGACCAGCAGTCATCCTAAAATCTACCACTGGTGAATAATACCATCTTCTGACCTCTGATTATAGATGTCTGCAACTCAGTTCCACAAAACTAGTGAACAAACAAAAAAAAAAGTTACAAAGCTTTTGATATCCATGTTCAGATTAACGTGAAAATAAGTTTACTTAAAAAACTATTTAACAGAGAAGCGCATGCTTTTCCTCATTCCCTTCATCCAAAAAAACCTAAAGGTACGCACCCAGAAGTGTCAAAAACACAAGTAAAATAAAGCTGGAAGTCTCTTACGACAAAAAAAAAAGGAAAAGACAAAAGAATCAAACAATGACTCATAATTCCTTTATATAACCCAAAAAGCTTCCCACATCTACTCTAAATACTTTAGTAAAAGCTGGAACGAGGTTGGTCAAAATCATAGCTTAAATGACAACTTGACAAACCTGTTCTTTAGATATCCCAGATGGTCTTGGCTTTACATAAGCAGACAGCTTCTTTACGGAAGTTGAAGTGGCTCCGTTATCAAAAAGATTTTTCATGTCCTTGCATCTGACCGAGTTGACGAAACTGGAGTAATTAAGTGCAAAATTAAAACATCAAGAGAAAAAAGCTAAGATGTCAGCCCGATTAAAAGAATAAATGTTTGAAAAAAAGTAAAGGTTTCAAGAAAGCCTAAAACAAAACAGTGTGCAAAATGAAGACTAAAAGACACATTTGTCGAGCGATATAGCTGGTTAAATTTCGAAAATGTTTTCAAAAATTCTAAAAAATTAACACATCCCAATCCTTTCTAGTAAAACGGTACTTTGCTGCTTCTGATCACTGACAACAACAAAAAAATTTTCTGGTAACAATCAATTCGCCAGCTTTTGATCTAGGCTGTGAGAAAAATATTTTAAAATTAAAGCAAAACGCTGAAGAAGATTGTTGAGATCATCAGGCACAAATGATATAATAAAAAAGCTGACTACAGTCTTCACCTTCGATTCCCAGAAAGTGTTGCTGCTAAAAAAATCTACTGCACCCGTTACGTAGCATCTCAGACAATGTTCAAAATTGAACGCCCCCTTATATCTACAGTATGATCAATAAATACTACTTATGACACAGGAGGAAGGAGATTTCAGTGATTACCCAAAGCGGCGTAATTATAAAGCCTTATGAGAAGCCAATTTACAAAGCATTCTGTACACATTTGAAAGCCTTCAATGGTCTTGCACAACCACAAAGTAATGAAATGTCGGGAATGCATCATTGAAAAAAGATTATTTTGAACTCACATCAAAAAACTGTTGAGCACCTCTTTTACAGTCAAGTTAAAAATTTGCACAATAAATTATGCAATTGATCATCATACCAAAACTATTAATTTATAAGCTAATTAGTTTAAAAAAAAAATTTTTTTCCCTAACTAGACGAACTAAAACAGCTGACTTAAAAGGCAAGGAAAGAAATTGCTGAGAAGTGCCATAGCAGCATCGACTCTTGCACTAATAGTCATAACACAAAAGGGGAGTCGGAAATTACAGAACAAAATTTTTTTTACATAAACGTGGCGTTCAGAATACACAAACACTTTTCATACAGCAGAATAATGGCAAAGAAAAAACTCTAAAGAAGAAAAAGGAAAGTTTTTTTTTTTTTTTTTTTTCTTCAGTTCAAAGACATAAGCAAAATCAATTTTAAATGCAATTTGGCAATGTCTCGGCCAAAAAATACCGCTTTCTAGAAAGAAAAAAGAAAGTGATAAACGGAACTTTTGTGGAAACAAGTGAGTGGGGGGTTGAAGCCTTAACTAAAAAAAACTAATCAAATATTAATCCAACTAAAGCATGCCAAACTTAATCGAAAAGCTGACAAACTCTAATCAAGTATCCAACCATAATGCCGTCAAATACACAAACTGAACAAATTTGTTGTAAAATTTCCAAGTAAATGTATTAGCATTTAGATTAATTAGCATTTTACATCATATCGCCACTCTTTATATCACTGAAAAGACCCTTATCATTTAGAAAAAAAAAAAGAGTAAATTGTAATCTTGTTATAAAAAATATCGATATGCAAAAAAAAACTTTTAATATTTCTCTATACAAATGGCCCGTAAAAATAATTACCAAACAAATTACCATATTTCACAAAAAATTGCTTTTTTTTGAATATTTGACTAATCTGCTCAACTACCTTTATGCTATTCTTTGAGCGACGACTGTTTTAATTACCGCTTGCAAAATCAGACTAAAAAAAAGAAAACGGTACAAAAATTGAAACGAAATTATAGACAGTTTGTGAAGAATTTCAGCAAAACAATGACACCAGTAGAAATACAGCAAAAATCGCCATCGAAAAATACCCCACAGTACAAATGTCTTACAAGCAATCGAAAAAAAAAAAAAAAAAAATCATAAGGCGAACGAAAACAAAAACCTAAGACAAACAAACCAAACGCTGATTCAACAACAACTACTTCTCAGTAACAGAAACCATAGTTACAGCAACAGTAACAGCGGTATGTCAACACTGAAATAACTAAGTTTAGAAAAGTAAACTGCTCGATTATCTTAGTGAAAAAGTAAACATTGCTCAATGATAAGCAAAACTAATGCAACAATGTCATCTGGTTAAAAAATCTATAGTTCAATGATCGATTAGACGACGCTCAAAGAGCGAATATCTAAAAAATAAATGTTGCAGTTTTCCTTCAAACAAAAACCAAAAGAAAAAACTTCCCAACAAAACTATCTAGCATCATTCCAAAACAAAACCCTCAAACCCTAAAGCACTTTCTTATTTCCATCTGTATGTTAAAAAAATGAAAAAAAAAAATATATACTATCAAAAAAGATGATCTATTTATCCATTAGTCAGCGTTCTACTCGGTTATCGTTAGAATGCGCAAAATAGCTATAGTTTCAATCACTATTCTATAACCTTCAATGATGATGA